TTAAGGGTTCAGGGTTAAGGGGTTTAGGGGTTTAGGGTTTTAGGGGTTTAGGGTTTTCAGGTTTAGGGTCTAGGGTGTAGGGTTTAGGGGTTTAGAGGTTTAGGTTAAGGTTTTAAGAAGTTCCCATAAAGGGTTCCCTTGTTCCTTTAAGGGTACCATAAGGGCTTAGGGTTCAGGGTGTAAGGGTCCATGTACCCGGATAGTAGATACTTTAGCCTGAGAGTACCTGTAATTACAAGCACCACTTTCAGGCCAAGATCTCTACTATGTGAGTACATTGAGTACATGGGCCCTTAATGCATTCACTACACGCCTCGATCAACACCCGCAAACGGCCTTAACATATTTGTCAGAGTTGTCCTTTTCAGTCGTAGGGTTAGAGAAGTGTACACGTACATTGTACAATTGCAAACCCTGCGCCCACAGCCATCAACACCAAACCCTGAAATTCAGATGTGCTTGTTCATTCGTGGCGCAGAAGGCTTGCAGTGGCCTAGAACGCAAAACATAGGATTCGCGAGAGCCTGCTGTACTCCTTGTTATCCGTTACTTGTGTTATCCGTTTATCGTCACCATATTACAATGCTTGTTGTTCTTGATTATCGTTGATGGTACTGACCACTGTCGTCACAAATGGTTAACATACATTACGCTGCTAATACGTGCTCGTTTAGTCCATATAGAGGTTGTAGGACACCTCTCTAAATTTTAGGGTTTTGGGGTGGTTGTGACTCCTGAATCAGAGGGTACCCTGAGGGTCTTTTGGACTCAAATGATCAGGTACTTGGGGTTGCGCAGTAGTTATGTTCATATTTGGGACAGTATATGATTGTGCTTGGACCCTTAGGGGTGTGTATGGCCTTCAAAATAGTAGGTATGCGGAGCAACAGGAGCTACACGAAAACCAGAAGACCAAGGTGCTGAATCCCTTCAACCTAGGTCCAAAGCTCAACCTAACCCCCAAATAATCTCCCTGAAAATTTTAAGGACTTAAGGAAATAAGTCATAAGAAGCAACCCTGACAAGGCAGGCTTCTTAGGAGTCCAGCTGGACACTCTAAGCTCTTCGGCCTTTGGGTTTCACTCCCTCGGCCCTAAACCCTAAACCCTTAAACCCTAAACCCTAAACCCCTAAAACCCTAAAACCCTAAACCCTGAAACCTAAACCCTAAACCCTAGACCCTGAAGCCCTAAAACCCTAAACAATGTACATAAAGTCGAACTGAGGGATCTTTGTCGCGAAGCGGATGCGGAGCTCCTTCGGGATCCTCCAGGCGACACCCCACCCATAGGCCCCATAGCAGTTCCTTTATGGGGTTACCTTATAGGATTCTGTATATAGACTCCAAAAAGGAACTACTTTAGGGCCTATGGGTAAACCCTAAACCCTAATTTAACCTGAAGCGGCTGTTTTTCGGGCTTCGGGCTTGGAGGTCTAGATTTTTATAGGGTTTCGGGACCCCTAAGGCTAGAAAGGTTTAGGGTTTAGGGAAACCCATTTGCTTCTAAGGCATTCTGGGCCTAAGATTATATTGTATACGGCTTTCGGGCTATTTTGATCACTGGGGTCTAAAGCTATCGGTCTATTTTGAGCCTTAGGGTGAGGGTGTGTGTGCCTATATATAAAATACCTTGGCCTTAAGCGGTTCCTATAAAGATACTTCGGGGTCGAAGTCTACACTACAAGGGTACATGAACCCTAATACCTTAAAGCCTAAACCCCTAAACCCTAAACCAGTAAGCACCAAACCCGAAGCGCTGAACCCTGAACCGCTAAAACCCTGAACCCCGAACGCCTATATCCCGTCAACCCTCAACCCTGAACCTATAAGCGCTCCTTGAAGTGCTCCTATAGGGTCCATCTCGAGGGTTCTTAACGGTTTTCCGGATTGGCTATACGTTAATGTGGGCTTCGGGATCCTACTGCTCCGCGTGCACAGGCCTGATTTCTGAATTTCCATGTTCACACCCTAAACCCCCAACGCCAAACCCTAAACCCTAAAACCCTAAATCCTAAACCCTGAATCCTTAAATCCTCAACCCAAAGCCCTTTGAAGGCTGCACCTGGCTACCGGAAGGATGCGAAGATGCGCCACCAGCCGCCTGGCCAGCAAGCCTTCCCTTTATATCGAAGGGCTCTAATGGGTGGGACAAAGGTAGCTGGGTTAATCCCAAAATAAGAGTCCTTAAGGTAGATGCCCTTTAAGTAGGGATGTAGGCTTCAGGCATTAGGGATCTAGGCTTCCCGATTCCAGGCGGCTTTAGCTTCGCTGCACACCTCTGCTCTCATTCTTAGGTCGGTTTAGGGTCTATAGGTTTTTTAGGTTTAGGGTCCAGAGTTTAGTATTTTTACAGGGCTGCCAGGGATTCAAGTTTAGCGTGTAGGATGTTTATAGGGCCGGCAGGGTTTAAAGTTTATGGTCTAGGGGTTTTTACAGGGCTGTCAGGCTTTAGGGATTTATCATTACTCACACCTCTCTTTGTCTCTCTCTCTCTCTCTATCGCTCTCTCCCTGCGTGTTCTTGTCGTTTCTCTCTCTCTCTCTCTCTCTCTCTCTTCGGCTCTTTTCCAGAGGTTTAGATAGTATTGAGGGGTGTTTTATCCAGCTTTGGAGTCGTTGCTGGATAAGCTACCCTAAGGCCCTAAGGGTCCATGTACCCAAATAGTACATACATTGGCCCTAAAGTACCTATATAGGGACTACATTAAGACCAAAGTGTATACTATTTGGGTACATGGACGCTTTGGGCTACCTGTTGAAATCCCAGAAGTACCTGTGCTTGCTTGCGGGATCCTGCTACCCATATCCCTCAGGGTCCAAAGGGGCCCAACTAGTTGAGTACTTGGGATTCGGATAGTAATAATGCAGGTAAATATTTCGGAAAGTAAATGATCTGTGATCCCAAGACCCAACCGCGCAAAACCGAACCCCCCCC